GTTTGGGTGGGTTAAGCGGGCATTTGACAACATGGCTTCTCCTTTGGCATGTTTAATTGTGATGTTAACAGACATCCTTGCAGTTTAAGATGACACTTTTAAAATAAAATTCTCTTAATGATGACTTGAGCCCTGCCACTCAATGGGAGAATCAGCAGAACCTGTAGGGTCTTATTTGGAATTGACATTCTCTATTGTAATTTTGTTGGTTTATTTTTAAATTCTTACTTTGTTTTCACTGGAAAGGAAAAGGTGATGCGCAGTTTTAAACGTTCAAAGTGTACAAGTTGCTTTGTTACAATAAAACTACATGTGTACACAAAGGGTTTGATGTTTTCTCTCACATAGGTGTACCCCAGGGCCTCCCAAATTGGGCTTGTAACAACCCCCGTCAGACTTTGTTGTCTAACTCCGTATTTTTTGATAACGCGCTTTCCAGGATGACCTCAGGGCTATATAGATGGAGATAAAGGGATTTGAATTAATGTCTTAATGTCTCAACAGCTGGGAATTGGTGCAGTTGCCAGTGATTGCTGAAAATGTCATTTGAGGTACCAGGGTCCAAACTGTGTTCCAAGTTGTGCTCTTAATCTTCAATCGGCAGCTTTTAGAGTGGCCCTCCGTGCCCAGGTGTGGCGCAGGCCTGGTGCTCTGGTGCTCTGCCTGTGTGGGCAGCGGCTGCTGCTGTGTGCTGGGGGAGGAAGGGGTGCTCCAGGGGTTAGGAGTGCTTTTGGCTCGAGCCCCAGTGGTCTAGGAGGGGACCGAGACACCACTGAGAACCTGGGTAGGACGGGGCGGTGGACTCCTCAGAGCCACCATGTGGGGTTGCCTTTTGAGAGGCTTCCTTTAATGCATAACCTTTTCACTTCTGTAAGAGCTGAAATTAAGTGCCACTTTCTGAGGAAATTAATGGACAGCCTAGTTAAATTCAGTTTTTTGATGTATGAAACTAAATTGAATTATTCCATCAAAAGGCAAAGTGTAACCCTAACCTATCTAGATGGATAGTGTGTGATTTCTGCACAGGTCTCTGTTTAGTGAGCTCATCACTGTATACTGGTCAGGAATTGTGCTCCAATAAAGGAACATAAAGATGATGGATTGAAGTCATTCTTGTTTTGCACAGGAATGTTACTTGCTTTTGTTATTTTTTTGGTGGTACCAAGGATTCAACTCGGGACCTTGCACTTAGCAGGCAAGCACTTATTCCACTGAACTATCTTCCCCAGTCCTGTTACTTCGCTTTTGGATTTGATCTAAGAGATGGGTAGGGGGGTTAGTTAGTAACTACAAAATCTAGCATAGGTTCAGCTACAAAAAAGGATGGAACTGCTTTGTGTGTAATTTTTCTTTCGAAGCTACGGTTTGGAATTTACACAGGCTCGTACCTCCTGACAGCTTCCCTAGTTAGAATTTTTTTTTTAAATAAAGTGTGTGTGTGTGTGTGTGTGTGTGTGTGTGTGTGGCCAGCTCAGCCCACCAGGGGGCGGGGCGGGGCTGGCTGGCATGTGGTGCTGGGGGATTGAACCGCGGTCCCTGTGCTTTGCTTTGCTAAGCTTGTTCCAAGTAGGTGCTTTAGACCACTGAGCCATCTCACCAGCCCCCCAAGTTAGAATTTTTGATGGTGCAGTCCTATAACCATTGGATGCAGAGACAGCAAGATTGCCTCGTCTTTAAGGCCAGCCTGGACTGTAGCGAGACCCTGTCGCAAAGGGGTTTACTTCCCCAGGAAAAAGTCATTGGGACTGATATTCCACAAAGCCACAGCTATGTCAGATCTGATCACATGTGACATTCTTTGCTGGAGTTATGCTGTTGTCAAGGGTGGCCTTCAACTGGCCCCAAGCAGTACGCGCTTCATCTCCCAAATAGCTGATACAAGCTCCAGCTCGGTCAATTTGGGGATGGGTTGAAACTTAGGCATGAAGTGGGCTGAGCTGTGAGAAAATTAAAATGGCCGTGTGGCTTCCTGAGCCCTGCGCGCCCAGTGGAGAGCTCTTGAGCTGCCCTGGGGAGTGGATGGGGTGGGTGGGTAGCACATCTTGGAGGCCTGCTTTGCAGAGAAAAGCTGGGCGCTGTCTGCTGTTGAGCTCATCCTGCTGAGCTACTCGGTGCTCTCCCAAAGCTGTGGGGGTCAAGGTGTCTGATTTAGTTTCAAAACAGGCCATCTCTATAGTTCAAATCACTTCTCCAATAATTTTAACACTAATTTACTTTGAAAAAGGGTCTCACTGTAATTCAGGCTAATTTTGAGCTTGCTATGTAGCTGAAGGTGACTTTGAACTTGGGGCAATCCTCTTGTCTCAGCCTACTGTGCTGATATCACAGATGCACACCCCCATGCCTGACTCCAATAATTTTTAAAAAAAGATAACTTTTTTTTTTTGGTCGTTTTGGAGACAGGGTCTCACTATACAGTTCAGGCTGGCCTTGAACTCACTTCGTAGCCCAGGCTGGTCTCGAACTTGTAACAATCCTCCTGTCTCAGCTTCCCAAATGCTGGATTACAAATGTGTGCTACTGCACCTGGCCTCAAAAAGATACTTCTTTAAAAAAGAACTGTAAATCGGGTGTCATGCTATACACTTGTAATCCTAGCACTCTGGAGGCTGAGGCAGGAGGATTCCAGTGTGTTCAAGGCCATATTGGACCACACAGTTCAACATTAGCCTAAGTTTACAGCAAGATACTGTCTCAAAAAAGACCTAACTCAGTTCACTGAACTGACCTCTGGAACAAGTTCTTAACGTCCACTACACTGGCTGTTACAATGTAGAGTGTGAACTGTCCAGTGTTTCAGTGAACATGTTTGACAGACTTCCGGTACACCAGACCCACTGGGACCATTCCTGCAAGGAGTATGTGGCTGCTTCAGTGGGCTCTTGGGTTCTCCTAGACACCAGAGGACTCCTAACCAATGTGCTCGTGAATTCATTTAGTAATCTTTATCACTGCTGTTTTGTAATTAGTTAATTTCAGTCTCACATGCTTCCAGAAGTGGGCTTAACGGTTCTGCCTTTTAAAAAATTAGTGCTGTGAATTCTTTATTAGTGTCACAAAAGACTGGGTGTGGTGGCGCACACCAGTGATCACAAAAGCACAATTCATTAGAAAGAGTAAGTCTTCCTAGCTAGTGTCTCTCTCTTTTTTGCTTTCTTCCTCCCTGTGGTACCAGGGATCGAACTCAGGACCTTGCACTTGTTAGGCAAGCACTTACTCCACTGAGCCGTCTCCCCAGCCCCAAGCACTGAGGTTTTTGGTTTGGGGCCCCCAGAGCCTTGGAACCGCACTCCATCCCTCGCCCTTGTTGGTGCTGAGGCAGGATCTCTTAAGTTGCCAGAGCTTGTGGTCCTCTGCCTTGGCCTCCTCTCAGTGCTGGTGTACACCACCTTGTCCTGCTGATAAGTTCTTCAAAGAAAGAGTAAACATTCACTTTCAAGAGTCTCTGCTCACCCCTAAGCGCTCCTTTTAGAATTTATGGCTGTGGGCGTGAAGGCTTCCAAGGTACTCTGGCAGCTCTGAGGAAAAGGGCTAGAGTTTTATGAGTAGAACAAAGAATAATGGACTTCCAAGCAGACAGTGTGTGCCAGTTTGATTAGCTGGTGACACTGTGCACTCAGATTCTGCCCAGGCTTAGATGTAGCAGGACAGTTCAGTACTGAGGTGGAATAAGCCATGTGGCTGGACAGGGGAGACAGGTTCTTTTACACCCTGCAAGGTGGGCTCGGCTCTGCTTTCTAGGCAGGCTCTACCCAGCTGTAACAGCCGGCTAGCAGGAGACAGACAATGCAGCCATCTGGTCACCCTAGGCTACAGCCTGGGTGGGCTTGGTTGTCTGTGTACTCGCCCCAGCGCGTTCTGTGGATGTTACAACACAAGAGTTCCTCTTCATTTTCAGTAGGCCTAACAGCCACTATGCAAAGCCAGCTAATGCAGCAGCCTGGGCTTAGGGCTGGGGGACCCGGTGCTGAGAAGCCAGGCCTAGAACTCCCAGTGATCCTCCCGCATCGCCTCATGAATGCTGGGATTACAGGCAGGCAGCTGCCTGCAGTTGGGGATCTCCGAACTTGATTCCTGTATTTTAATGAGCCGCAGCCAGAAACTGAGGTCTCGTTACTTCTAAGTGATAGGTAATAGCATTAAGCCCACTTTATTATTTTTTTAATTTCTTAATTTATTTGTGTATGTGTGTGTGTGTGTGTGGCCAGCTCAGCCCACCAGGGGGCAGGGCTGGCTGGCATGTGGTGCTGGGGGATTGAACCGCAGTCCCTGTGCTTTGCTAAGCTTGTTCTAAGTAGGTGCTTTAGACCACTGAGCCATTTTACCAATCCCATTAAGCCCACTTTAAAGAGCCCACAGTGTGTTACGCTCTTGTCCTGGTGTGAACTGTTCCATCATTTAAAGCATGGAGCTGGGCTTCATGGCGCATGCCTGTAATCCCAGCCCTCGGGAAGTAGAGGTGGGAGAATCATTATAAGTTTGAGACTAGCCTGGGCTACAAAGTGAGCTTAATGCTAGTCTGAACTGCACAGCAAGACTCTGTCTCAAAACAAAACAAAACAGAAAGCATAGAGGATTACCATTTTGAAGCAGGTCAACATCTGACTTTCTGTGGTCTGGCTCAGCGCTGGCAAAGGCTGCTTCCAGTGAAGTCAGTAAATGTCTGTTCTCCTAGCAGATAAACTTTTTTTTTTTTTTTTAAATTAGTGCATGGTTTTGGTACATAATGATCACATTCTGGGGGGCAGGTTGGTACCTGCACATAACACATCTTTATTCTTCTTCTGTCCCTTTCCCTCCTCCCTCCACTCTCAGTTCCCTTTCCATTTGCAAAATATCTCCGTTTTATGTTATCTTTTATTTTGCCCTTGATCCTTAGGTTTCTCATATAAGAAAAAAACATTAAGGGGCCTCGGAGATAGCTCAGAGAATAAGTGCCTGCCTGGCGAGCACAAGGTCCTGAGTTCAATCCCCAGTGCTACCAAAACAAAACAAAACAACAACAACAACAAAAAAACCCAAACCACATGAGATAGTTGAGCTCCTGCTTTTGACTCATTTCACTTAATATGATGGTCTCAAGGTGCACCTGTTTTTCTACAAATGCCTGAAGTTTATCTTTCTTTTCTTTTGTTTTTATTTTTGCAGAACCGGGGATTGAACTGACGGCCTTCCACTGGCCAGGGAAGCGCTTATTCCACTGAGCTATCTGCCCAGCCCCCATGAAGTTTATCTTTCTTTAGCGCCAGATGGGCTTTTTAGAACCAGCAAACTCAGTCGAATTAGGTGATGTGCCCGAGAGAAGTTGGGTTATTCGTACTTTGTCATTTTCGGCCAAATTGGGTGAGACGTTAACCTCCAAAGCCAAGCACTCCTCGCCCATTTACACCAGTGTGCTGGACACCAAGAGAAGCGCCTGGCGGAGGAAGCCCGGCGTGTTGAGCGGGGTGCAGGCTGTGCGGGCTGCGAGGTCCCCAGCAGAGAGCGGCCGTCACCCCGGCGGACGGCGGGATACAGCAACAGGGAGCCTGACCGCAGAGATGCCCCTCGGCCCTCCCATCCCCGCGCATCCGTGTCGCACCGAGGACGCCCGCGTGCAGGGCGCCGAGTCGCGCGCAGCTTCGGGTGTCGGACGGCGCCCGGGACTTCGGGAGCGCGGCCCGGGACGCTGTTCTCCCGTGCGGCCGGGAGGCGGCGCTGGTACCCCGGTACCCGCGGGCGTCAGGCCTCGGGAGGGGGCGCTCGATCCCAGGTCTCAGCGTCGCTTCCCGGGAAGTTTCAAGTTTGAAAGTTCTGACTGAGGCCGGGGCTTCCGGAACCTAGGGGTCGAGAGGAGGGGCCGAGCGGCGCCATGGAGGAGGGGGCGAGGCGGCAGGTGAGCGGGAGCGGGGCTTGGGGTCGGGGTCTTCGGTGTCGCTGTCCGTGACGCTTTCGCGGGGCAGACCTGGGCAGTCCTTCCTGCCCCCTGGGTGATTCAGAGCCTTGGGTTAGGCCAGCCCAGGAACCGGTCTGGAATCGCGGTGTGCACCTCCCGGGTGGGCCCCGAACCGCCCCCAAATCGCTTCTTTCATCTAGGACTCTAGGGTAAAGGGAATTAGCCAGAAAGAGATGGGGGGGGGGTGCCCTTCCACACTCGGGAGCTGCCTGGGGGCTTAGGAGGTGTGCGCTGTGGGGAGGGGACAATCTCCGTGCAACTGGGGGATCTTCTCAGACCCGCGAAAGCAAGGGTGAGCTGCACACCCAGAGAAGCCCAGCCCAGCGTCCAGGTGGGAATTTGGGGGTACACAGAGGGTTCCAATGGAGGAACCCAGGGTTTTTGCCAGGAACTAGCCACAGGTGCACTGGCTCTGAGTGTGTGTGTGTGTGTGTGTGTGTGTGTGTGGAGTGGGTGTGGCCAGGGTTCCACCCCGAGCAGAGGGGGTGTAGTACCCCACCGCCAGTGTCCCCACCCAGGGTTTAGGCAGCCCTAGGGGCTGAGTCTACTCCCTCCCTCCCTGTTCCTCCAAGAAGTCCCTTTGCCCTTCCAGTCCTGCTCGCACACATTTTCCGATTTCCTGCAGCCTCCGCCCTGTTGAGCAGCTGGGTGACTCAGGACCCCTGCTGCCGGCCCCCAGCTCCTGAGATCTTTGTTTGTTCAGGCCCTTGGCTCTGGCCCTCTTGCCTGGGGCGGTCAGAGGATTTCCTGAGCCTCGCCCTTGCCCTCAGCCCTCAGACAGCAGGGGCCAGCAGAGCCTGAGGTGGGGGTCCCCCAGGCTGGGCAGCCACTCTTCCCCTGGGCTCAGGAGATGGCAGGCCGAGAGGTAAGATGGGGTGTCTGCTGTACTCCCTGAGAGGGGACATCCTGGATTCCCGGTTTGCAATGTGGCCTCCAGAGAGCGGGTGTTTTCTTCCTGGCTTTGACCTGCGACAGAGAGAGAGAGAGAGAGAGAGAGAGAGAGAGAGAGAGAGAGAGAGAGAGAGCCTTCTACTTCCTCCCAGAGCTGAGTTGAGGCCTGGGCTGTGACTCCCCAGTCCTCGTGGATGTCCCAGTAGCATTGGGAGGTCAGAGAAACAAGCCTTGGCCTTGGGCCATTGGCTGCCTTCGCCTTGTGACCCTGGCGGAATCCCTGCTGGGCACGCTGAGCTTTTTCTGGCTTCCAAGCTTCTACTTCAGTTCCCAGGCTCTGAGATCGCAGAGTGGCTACTGGGGAGAGGCTGGTGTCTGGGATAGTCTTCTGCCCTGTGTCACCACTGTGGGCCACTGTGCACATTTCTCCTGTATCGTGACAACTCCTAGGCCTGAGGGGGAGCTCAAGGCCCTGATTCTCAAAGCCCTTCTCCTACTAGGAGGGGTTGCGGTGTGGTGTCGGGCTGTAGACGGCAACCCAGCACCTGACACCAGGAGAGCCACGGCAGTCTCCCCTCCTTCTTCTCTGTTTGCTTTGGATTTTTGAGACAGGGTCTCACTATGTAGTTCAGGTGGGCCTTGAACTCACTGTAGCCCAGGGTAGGCTTGAACTTGCAGTGATCCTCCTGCCTCAGCCTTCCGAGCCCTGGTAACAGTTGTGTGCCGTCTCAGCTGCTCTGAGGGTAGAGACTTTCTCAAGCTCTATGGGTCCCTCTTAGCTGCCACACCTTGTCCCTGGGTTGTAGTGACTCCTCTTTGTCCTTCTGCAGGGTGAGCCCAGCCAGCAGCCCCTGGAAGATGAGAAAGAAGTGATCCGCCGGGCCATCCAGAAGGAGCTGAAAATCAAGGAGGGCATGGAGAACCTGCGTCGTGTGGCTACAGATCGCCGCCACCTGGGCCACGTGCAACAGCTGCTGCGGTCCTCCAACCACCGCCTAGAGCAGCTGCACTGCGAGCTGCGGGAGCTGCATGCCCGCGTCCTGCTGCCCGGCACGACTGGTGAGCGGGCGGAGTCCAACGGCTCCTACAGACAAGGGCTCCTGTCCCCCGTTCTGGCCTCCAGCCTGCAGGCTGCCTCGCTACTCCAAACCTCCCCCAATGCCCCTGTCACCCATGTGCCCTGGTGGAGGAGAGGGAGGGGCCTCAGGCCTGGTGACAGCTTCCTGCACCTGACACTCCCTGCATACAGAGCCTGTGGCCTCAGGACCCTGGCCGAGGGCGGAGCACTCCACGGCTCGGCACCTGGAAGCCCTGCAGAGGCAGCTACAGGTGGAGCTGAAGGTGAAGCAGGGGGCCGAGAACATGACCCACACTTGTGCCAGTGGTACCCCCAAGGTAAGGCCTAACTCCTGGGCTCCGATGCAGGAGGCACAGCCCCCACCTTCGGACAGATGGGAGAGATTGCGCTCTCCGTTGTTAGGGGAAGCAGGGTGCTGTGGGTGTCGGTTGCCCCTATCTTAGCACTCAGAAGGCTGAGGCAGGAGAATTGCTATGAGTTCGAGTCTGACCTGAGCCTACAGAGTGAGACCCTATCTCAAAGAAAAAAACAGGGGCTGGGGAGATAGCCCAGTAGAATAAGTGCTTGCTTGACAAGCACAAGGGCCTGAATTCAATCCCGGGTTCCACCAAAAACAAACAAACAAACAAAAAA